ACATGATTCATATCTATAATCAGAAAACTGTGAGGCTTCAAGTTCAGGTACTGATTGACATTCTCTAGCCTGCTGAAAGAACTGGATCATGACCTTTCAAAGCTACAAGCAGTCACTTAATGTCCATTTCTTCTCAGCCACCTCGAACATCAAATCAAAAAGCATCTTTGGAAGGCCCCGATTTTGAATTGCAAAGCAGTACCCAAGTCATCTAGCTATTACATGTAGTGCTGGGGCAGGGGGAAATTCATCAACAGTGGGTTTTTAAAAGAGAAATGAGGCTTTCATCTTTTATACATGCCGTGAAGAAAAGTTATGTTGAAAACCTTTTCCAGAAACAAAATCCTTTGTGACTACAATCCTTTCAACAGTGTGATGATAATATGTCCTGGAGTCATCATTAAAAATACATAAAATGGGTACGTTGGTCTCTAAAGCACATGAAATTTCTGGGGTCATTCGCAAGTCCATCTCCATGTAACAGTGTGCTGGCTCTCATAGGAACAAAACCTGCCTCTAGTCCTTTATTTAATGATTTTCCCAAACTATATTTCCCAAACTATATATATCCATAGGAATATAAGAAGCAGGGTATAATTCAAGGACTCAATAATTGGCTAGATGCCTTGGAGTTTCATGGCTTTCCATTTTAACGAGGCCCAGACACGAAAGAATACTACTGGCTATTACATTTTGAATACCTACAATATACCAGGTGCTACTCCATGTATTATCTCATTCGGCCCTCACGCTAACATACTTATGAGATTTTTCTTTTTAATTTTTATGACAAGGAAATTGAAACAAATCATCAATTGGCACAAACTAGACAGTAACAGGGCATGCATACATACCCATCTCAACAGGCTCCAAGGCTCATGCTCTTTCCACTCTGCTACCTGCTTTTTGCTTGAAGTCTACTAAGTGTCAATCTACTCTACCCATCAATGGTAAGGCCAATGCTTGCTAGGAGGGCAGATTGAACCATTGGCCTCCAAAGAATCCTCCCTATTTTTTAATCTAAATGCAGCTCCCTGGAGAGTTTCCTCTCAGTGGCTCACAGCAGTATCTATTGACACTGCCAGCCAAGGTAGCAGTACCTTTAGGAAAAGCCCAATTGAATCTGCTTCCAACACTGTTGATTGTCAGGAACTGAAGATGGTTCCCACTGAACACTATACCTTGGAACCTTCTGTAGCAGGAACTCTCAGTGGCAGCAGTTGCTGTCAGAAGTAGTGGCTTTCAATGGTAGCTCTCCTAAGTCACTTCCTTGCCACCCCTTGCCTTCCCTCCTAGCAATGAGAGCCCTTGGTAGCAAATATTATAGTAGGCAAATCATCAGCACAGTCGTTTATGGGTGTTCTGGTGTCAGGTAGCTATGGCAAGCCAATACAGGTGGTTACGAATAATTACGCATAGCTCTTTGGAGAAAATTATTGCAATTTCTCTGCAAATTCCCACTCAGAGTCATTCTTTTGGCTGCCCCCTCAGCACTGTTTTGCTTTGCTTGAAGCCAGGAAGTACTCAGCCTTCTCTTAATCTACAAATGGACTATTCTCTAAGAAGACAAGATTAGGGAACAATTAACTCTCTTCTAGAAATTCTATTGGATTCAGGTTATATAAAGATGAAATGTCAGAATTTTAGAGTATTCTCTTCTTGGGCACAGGAGTATCTAAACAAATCAAGACCCCAAGAGAGTCCAAGAAATACCTTAGTAATTCCAAGTAGATTATTCAAAATGCAATACCATTAGAAATACAGTCTAATGCAGGGCACATACTGAACATTTTTCTTTTTTTCTTTTTTCTGCTTCCTATGATAATTTGATCTCTCCTAACTTGAAAGAAAACATTTATTTGATTGAACTGTCTCTCTGGCTACCAACTAATTTTTCTCTTGCCTTTTACTGTTTACTTTCTGGATTAGAGATGAGCCTGCTACAATTTAACCCCCTCCCTTTTCTCATCTTTTTGCAATTTGATTTCTTCCCCTGCCCCCAAACTCTAATATTCTTGGACTCTAATACAGGCAATTCCAATGACGTTTTTTTCTTGCCCGCTGTCAAGAACTTTCCAGGAGAGAAACAAAGATCTCTGGCTCTTAGCATCCAATGAGTACCTCACCCAAAGCCAGCACCATCTTAACTAGTCACGTGACAGAAGCAAATCCTCCAGCCCTTAGTTAATTACCATCAACCACCAGCTACTCCCCAGGTGACACTGCATAGCCCAGAGACACACCTTCTCCAATAAGACTTGCCCAAATTGAAGATTTAGGAGAAAAAAGAAAAACTATATTGCCATTGTTTTAAGCCACTGTTTTAACTAAAACATGTGACTTCAACCCTAAAGGGCACGACCCACCTCTAAATCCCTCTGTGCTATTCATCTGTCATTGAACTATGCTGTCTTGAGTTAGAAGTTAATTTTTGTGTGTGTTTAGAGAATGTATCACCAGTTTGATGATTATCTCCTTGGTGACACGTATCTTGTAGAACATTTGCCTTTTAGCATAGTGACTTTCTGGGCAGTAGATAGTCTATAAATATCTTTTTAATTAATTAAAGCAAAGACAATGTGTTCTATAAGATATAATAATTTCTTACAGTGACCAGGCCTGCAAGTTTGAGATATGGTGCAGAGCAGACGTATTAAAACCTACCCAGACTCTTGATAGATAAGCACCCTCACACTTAAGATACTGAAATAGCGGCATTATAGATAATGCATATAATCAACATTTTTTTTTTACCCTCTATAGTGGTTATTTAATGTTCCACTGGAACTTGATATACAAATCTTGGAATTTATCTAAAAAGTCACACCACATTAGAGCCTCATCACTCAACATATTTTTTGATTAATGAATTACAATGCAAATGAAACAAGTTTCCAGTTAATGAGCTACAGATAATTTATTTGTAAATAATAAACATGACCAATAGCCAAATTAGACTTCAGGTTTCTTTTAACTTTTTGTATTTATCCTTATTTGTTGCCTTTACCCTAAGCAGTGAAGTTTCATCTAAAAGAAACTGGAGAGGCATGACTTCTGGTGTAGCAGAACAAAACAACCTTAACTGATAAAAGCCAACAACTATTTAAAATCTCTGTAAACTGCCTAAGGGAATACAGCAAATAAAGACACATTCATTCAAGAAAATCCACTCAATCTTGGTAAGAACAGTAAGAGCCTATGTCACTTGAGTCATGATCTACCCCATCCCTTGCCCCTCTTCCCAGATTAGCATGATGGAAGCTCCACTCCAGAGGGGAATTCCTCTTCCCCAAGCTACAAGTCAGTTGCTCTAGTATCTCCCTCAGATGGTCAGACACCAGAAGTTCTCATCCCCCACTAGCTGCCTGCTGCAGAGGCTAATTTCTAGGCAAGTCTGGCCAAGAGGGCAGGGGCTCCCTTCCTCCATCCAGCCCCACTCATAGCCTCACTGATTCTATCCAGGTAAAGAAGGCCAGTAATACTGGGATCAATTGCCTTCACCACAGTTTGATCAGAAAGAGGACTGACAGGGCCCAGGCTGAGTCAGTTGTGTGCAGGCTGATGTGCGGACCCTGACCCTGGACAAGGTCTGTGCCCACACAAGCGGGGGCCGCTGACATGTGGACCCTGGCCCAGACATAACAAATCTTGACTCCGGAGCCTGCTGCACAGGTACCGGGCTCCAGTGATGTAAGCTCTTTACGTTAGCGTGATTCACAGCCAGGGGAGGGAGCATGCCACTTCTTCTGAGCGCTCTCCTCCCCCAAAACCTCTATACAATGATTGCTATTGCTGAATAAATTGGGCTAGCTAGTTCCTCCTCATGTTGGCTCTGCGTGCTTCCTTTTCCCTGGGCATCTCACCACTGAAAGCCCCCCAGCAGCCCCCAGCGACGACAAGAACATTCCACATTGGGAGAAACAAGCTGAGAGGGTCAGAGGCTGCTGCCTCTACCCAATGTCCTGCTTCTTAGAGCAGGAATGGTATTTCAAGAGAGGTGGGTCATTGGCCCTGCTCCCAGGTCCAAAGCAGTGGCTCTAAGATTTTGTCTAGATGGGGAGGCAGGTCAAGAGAATGTAAAATGTTGAAGCTCTTCCCCACCCAAAAGAACAATGGAGATTTTGGTGGTAAGCCATTGAGAAGAGGTTGGTTGCCCTATGAAACAAAAACTATAGGCCATCTAGATTTCCAGAGAGAACCCTGCCCATGAACGCGTCAAAGGACTCCCATGCTCTAACTGTATGCCTATCAACATCCTCCACTAGAATGATCACTGTGGGTAGGAACGCCTCACTCACCATTGAATCTGAGCACTTCTTGGTGCCTGGCACTGAGCCGGTGTTAAAAATTATCTCTTGTAGGAATGGATGAAGGGGTTAGATGGTTGGGATGGATACCCATTCTATACAAGCCTAACAAAATAAAAAGTTTTACAAAAGGCTGTAAGCAATGTTGATAAAATATTAGTGGAGGGCTGGCTGAGTGGCGTGTTGGTTAGGAGTTGGCTTGGGATGCCAGCTCTGACCAGCAGGGCCCTGGTTCAGATCCACATTGAGGGACGGTGATGCTGCGCCCCTACAGCTAAGATGCTGAACAACAGCTCGACCTGGAGCTGGGCTGCCGTGAGTCGCTAGCGACGGTGTAGGCTGCAGGGGGGCTGGCCGGCAGCGTGCATGAACGTTTGTGAGCTGCCATGAGCCGCCATGAGTGGCCATTCAATGGCTGGCGAGCAACTGCCTCTCCCGGGAAGAGCACAATGATAATACCAACATGGGCCAGTGAAGCGATGTCCTCCACAACTAGACTGAAGAACAAAAGGACAGCAACTTGTCTGTTCCCCTTCCCTGATTCCCCAATGCTGTTTCCCTCCACCAATTCCACAAGAAAATAATATATATATATATATATATATATATATATATATATATATATTAGTGGAAATAGGATAACATTTGTTTCTACACATGTATTTATGTAACTCTGCTCCATAAATGTCTTTTAACATATGATAGTCCAAAGTTGCTGTGTTTGGCTGGTTTAAAGGATTTGATTGATTAATTTTGCTTGTGTGAATGTGAGCAGGCAAGGCACACACCTCACTCATTTTTCTGCAAACCACAGCTTGAGGAAACTGGCTGTTTGATCATAAGGAAGGAGGTATGCATGCAGTTAAGAACTTGGCTCTGAAGTCAGGGCCGTCCGGGTTGAGTCCTGCTGTAAGATTTACTGGCCATGTGACCTTGAGCAATGAAATAATGTTTTTACAGTCCTTACCACAGTGTTTGGCTCACAATAAGAACTCAACAGTTGGTAGCAATAATTATTAACATTCGATTTGCCACAAATAGTAATATTATCATTGTCCTGCCCTAGTACTGTCATTAAGTCATGACTAAGGCATCACCGTGGATTTGTACACTGTGTGCAAGAAAAGTAACCAACAAAGACCAGCCCTATGAGGTCATCGGGGAAGACCTCATTCTCTTCATTGGACAGATAAAAAAAAAAAACAAAACACCCACACTTAACACAGGGAAGAGACCTGCTCCCAGTCACGTAGCTAGTAAGAGCAGAGCCAAGACTTAAACCAGAACTTCTGATGCCAGTTCTCTTTCCACTACACTGCATGGCCTCTGGGCATTAGCATTTCCAGGCTTTATAGTCATCCAAGTTTGTAAAATCAAATAGGAGTTAGGATTACAGATATGCACACTGGGACTAACTGTTCCCCTCTCTCCATTCATAGGCGCTTGGGATTGTGGGCCCCTGGGGCATTCCACCCAGGCTGCAGAGCACATGGATGTGGCTACTCTCCCCAGACTGCCCCCTGCCATGGGGACAGACTGGCTCCTAGGGAGAGCAAAGTGTTCTTTTATAGAGTATCTGCTATATCCCTCAGGACTGGACTGGGAATGCTAGCTGCCCCCCTGAACTCCAAAAGCCAAAGATGCTTGTAGATGTGTCCCTTGAAAACTGAATACACTTACCACTTGAGCAAACATCTGGGTGTGCTAAGGCTCTGAAGTGTGGTTCTCAGTGCAAACTGCCAAAGCAGATAATACATAAAGTACTCCAAGAGTCATAGACAGTCCAAGCTCAATAAACCGAGGCCTTATTTTAATCTGAACTGTTTATTTTATAGAAAAGGAAATCCGGGCATAGAAACATCCTTAAGATATTTGTCATCACTACAGGGAGCCATTTTTGACATAAGCCATCTTTAGTGACTACAATATCTCCTCAAATGGGATGATTGGATGGAAGTCAGTCTGGGGACTTTGTGTAATAGGAGCCCTAAGAGAGGCCATATAGAGGTAAGGACAATTCTAGAGCTGTTTCAAGAATGGTGCTCAACACTGTTTGTTTTCGGGTACAGAGAAATGAGCTGGAGGGCTGAGACATTCGTTAGGATCTGTGAGTTAAGCCTAAAGGCCAGACCTGGGAAGTAGCCATCAGCCAACCAGTTGCAGGAGAATGAACACTGCCCCAGGCACCTGCCCTGTCTAGCCTGGTGCCCCTCCCTAGATGTGAGGGAAATGTTCAAGTGACTAAACTGGATTGATCAGTTCCTGGAGGTTTTGATGGCTTCAAAATCCTATAGGATTCTGATGTCTCAGAATCTCATAAGGGTTTGCTGAGACCTGCACCAGGACTTCTCCAATCAGAGAGACAGAGGACAGATCTAATGTCCTCTGTGCTTCACAGAGTCTCATCTTCTAGACCGCCACTTTCAGGGCTAAATCAGGGACAAGCAACTCCCGACAGTATGATAGGGCCATGCCAGAGGTCTAAAGGGGTCTGTCCCCAGCAGATGACCATTCACAGATAACTGAGTGCTGAGAGTGGATCCAAAGGAAAATTACCACATCTTGTGAGCATATTACATTCCCTCCTATTTAAGGCAGGACACAGCATTATTTTTTTTTTTTAATTCTCAGGCCTCCGTTATCTTCCTTGGTATCTAGTACATGGAAGATACTGAATAAACAGGTAAATGAATGAATGAAATGAATGAAGAAAAAAAATTAAAGAGAGTATCTGAGTTAATGAGTAAATGAATGAACTATCTAGGTAGGGAATAATTTTGGAAACACACAAGAAATTCTAAAATCTGGATAATGCACACATAAATTCGCATGAATTTTATGTGGGGGAAGGAACTTCATCTATTTATGTAATTCCTATCAACATAGCATTTCCTCTTTTGTGCTTTACTCTCCTGAACTTTGTAAAACAAGAAACCTTTAAATTAACTATTTTGTCCTCTGAACATTTGAGCAGAATTAAAATAACTTTTTCGTCTTATTTCTTTCATTTCTCTAGCCAATTAAACATGTGTTCCCAATCCAGAGCCCAGCTGAGCTATTTTTCACTTCAACTCTCTCAGTATCTTCTTGTCTGTTGCTACTACCTGGTCTTGTTGCCACACTATTCTTTACCACCCTGGTAAGGAAAAGGTGACCTGGAAACAGACAGCCAAGCAAGGAAGTGGGATGGGCGCTCTGGAGGCAGACAGCCCTGGGCTTCAGTGTCCTGCGTCTACCACCTAACAGGGTGGCTTTAGATGAGTTCCCAACCTCTGGGCAATAATGCAACTTACACTGTGAAGATGATTATAAGTAATCACACAGGAAAGTACTTTGCATCATGTCTACTACACAATGAATGCTCAATACATTTGAATTATTATTCAAACTATTATTATAGTGTAGTTATGTTATATTTATGACAGTATATTGGATTACATATCATATTGTGTCATATCTCATATTATATACAGCAGTAGTGTACTGGCTGTGGCCTTGTAAACCAGTGCCTGTTGGTGTGTTCATCAACGTCACACCCTCCATGGAGCTCTCCTCTAATTAGTTTCTTTTTTTTTTTTTAAGCCACATTCTTTTTTTTTTTTTTTTTAACTTAAAAAAAATTTTTTTTATTTGGGAACAGATTTTCCAGGACCCATCAACTCCAGGTCGAGTAGTTGTTTCAATCTAGTTGTGGAGGGTGCAGCTCAGCGGCCCATGTGCGGATCGAACTGACAAACATGGTGTTGTGATCTAAGCAACTGAGCTAGCCGGCCGCCCCCTCTAATTAGTTTCTTAACTTCTTCCCCAGACTCAGACCACCCTTTATCTTTTATGTACATCCTGAAAGTAGAACCCTGGGCTCTTCAGGGAGTAAAGTATAGTTGTTCTTCCTCTGAAACAACAATGACTGCCCCTGTGGCTGGACCATCCTGGCCTTCCCCAAAGCATCCTCCTCCTTCAGGAGAAGCCGCTGGAGCTGAGTCCTGACAAGAGTGCTATGTTTGAGGAAGGAAATCCATTTCAAATCTCTGTTGACTTGACTCTCACCCTTCTTCTCCAGCATTCCAAACTCCCACACACATCCACAAGCTGTGGTTTTTAAAGTTCGTTTGAACTGTGAAAGTTTAAGGTTATGAGAGCTCAAGGATAGGGTGAACGCCGACCCTGACACCTTCTTTTACTCCCTGCCCTCAAGCGGTCAAGGCCAGCTCAGCGTCAGTGAAATGCCAGGGTTTTCTAGTACGTAGCCTTATCCTTTCTAGGAAGGGATTTGGAGCTGAAGAAAATAGGTACATTGACTAGCACCACACTATGCTTAATGCAGTGGCAAACATCATTGCTTACCTTCTCCTTTTTACATCTTCTTTAGGTTATAGGCTCCTTGTTTCTAGGGCATGGCAACATGCTCAAGGAAGAGGAACTCTTCCTCAGGCCTGAGAGAATGAAGCTTAATTGGCTTAAACGAAGCATGGCAAGCCCATTCCCCTTTCCACATGATTAACTTGGGAGTAGGCACATGACCCGGTTCCGACCAATGAAACCAACGGGGCAATGTGTTGATGGGTTCTTTTCAGATTTTTGTTTCCTGTTGTGGATGAAAAGGGGGGTCTAGGAAAGTACCCTCACAGGATGATCTGACCATACATTCCTTACTGGGCAGGTCACGGTGGGTAGTCACTCCCTGAGCATGTAACTTCTTTAGTAAAAGGCATCTTTGCCTTAAACCAGCCCTGTCCACTGTTCTTGTGCATCTAGGTTAACACACCTTTGAAATTCCAGAATAATCCTGTTTTTCAGACTCCCTCATGGGAGCACATAATCTTGTTAACTATCCTGTAATCCAATCCCCTCCTTGCTTTCTCCTACCTTCATTTAATCTTCCTTATTTCCCTTCTTAATTCTAAATGCGTAAAAGAAACTGCTAAGTGTCATTCTAGGAAGCATTTTTCTCAGTCTGTTGAGATCTTGCTTTCAGGTGTATCCTCCGCTTGGCTCAAATACATTTTTATAAAAATTCTTGACAGGTTTGGAAGTTCTTATACAGATACTGTTACGAAGAAAAACAAGTTCCTTCCTGCCTGACTTGAATTGTGTGAGAACATAGTACTTGGAACTACAGCAACCATTTTGTGATCATGAGGCAACAAGCCAAAGGACAAAGGATAAAATAGTTAACAAGACAGAGCATGGGATTTTTGATAATATCACTGGATTGGTGAACAAATCTGGAAACATTTTCTTCTAGATCAGCGGTTCTCAACCGTCCTAATGCTGCAACCCCTTAATACAGTTCCTCATGTTGTGGTGACCCCTAACCATAAAATTATTTTCGTTGCTACTCTATAACTGTAATTTTGCTACTGTTATGAATCGTCATGTAAATATCTTTTTGTTTTCCAATGGTCTTAGGCGACCCCTGTGAAAGGGTTATTTGACCTCCAAAGGGGTCGTGACCCACAGGTTGAGAACCGCTGTAGACTTTCATGATTTGTGAGATAGAGTTTTCTATTGTTTTAGACATTTTTTCTTTCCTGTTACTTGCAGCCAAACACATGTGATGAAACATTCTCCAACTTGAAGTAGATAAATTACAACACGTGTCTGTGGATTCTATCTTATTGATTTTTGTATTCTTAGCATTGAATGTGATCCTGGTACTTAGTAAGACTCCAGTAAATGCCTCTTGAAAAAGGTGTTTAACTGATGCAAACTTCTGTAGTTGCTGAATCATGAAGATCAAGATCCAATTTTAGGTTCTATTAAATACTTGCTTCCCTCACTGCCAGGGACATTGTCATTTCTGTCTGTTCCTACCTTTACAGGGGCCAAAGAATGATTTAGAAGACTGTAAAAAATGACTGCTATTATGGCTACTGCTAAGAAATCTCTCCTAAGAATTCTCAGCAATTCCCATCAGCCACATTTATACCTATTTCTCTGGTGATCAATGTTTCTGAACTTAAATCAGCATGCATAATCAATAGAATATTTAAATTGGTTTTGCCTTAGAAAATCTAGGACATGTGTTTTATACCTTTAGTAAGCATTTATTTAATGCTTATATCTCTTAGCTGCCAGGCACACTGTAATGCATTGAGGATGAAGAGATGAACAACCACACAGCACCTATCCTTGAAAAGCTTACAGTGAGGAACCGGACGCTAGCTTCCCCAAGAATGAGGAATCAGCAACATGACAGAAGATATCAAGACTAAAATCAAGAATTACCAGACTGCCACTTTTGACAGTCACTTCCCCAACCAGAAGCAGACCAGGAACTGTTGGCAGAACTACTTGGACTTCCATCACTGTGAGAAGGCAATGACTGCTAAAGGGGGTGATGTCTCTGTGTGCAAATGTTACTGGCATGTGTACAAATCCCTCTGCCCCACATCCTGGGTGTTGGCCTGGGATGATCGCAGAGCAGAAGGCACATTTCCTGGAAGATGTAAACTGGCACCACCTCACCTCTCCTCTGTCCTCCATCCTTCTTCCAGGAAGGTAGGTAAAGGGGGACCTGGATACATCCCACCCTGAGATCCTGAATCATGGCTTAACTAACAATATATACTTATCTAAAAAAGTGAAGAAAAAAACCCAAAAACTTACAGTGACAAAACAGGATGTTACAACCTAAATAGAGGTATTTGCAGATACAATATCAAGCCCTCTTTGCATATCACTGCGTATACATATCACCCTGAATGCTACCACTAAGTTAATTAGGAAAACCAAGTCCCTAGGCACATGTCTTTAACAAAATGTTGTCCATGAAGATTTCTAAATTTGGTCCTCCCCAGCTGACTTTATTTTGAGAGGTGACTTTCTGCTGTCATCACCCAAGGTCCTCCACATTTACTCCATATTCTTGTCCACTCTGCACAAGGGTCATTCCTTGCCTGGAGTGCACTCCTTTCATGGTCCACCCAGAACAGTAATTTCACGGGGAAAGCAAGTGGGTGAAGATTTGGGGGGTGACTTTTCTAGGTGGCTGGTGAGTAGTGTTTCAATTCCCTACAAATCAGCAAATATAAAGAAAATACAAATTAGATCCCGTTTTCTTTCTTAGCTGATCATGACTTCCGAGCAAGGCCAGAGCTCTTATGCTCAGCATCTCTGGTCCATCAGCCTCAAGGGCACCTTTCAGTTCCACATGGACCATAAGCACAAAGATACCAAAAGTATAGATATTACTTTTCCCATTGGTCTGCCTTTTGTAGAAATTTCCAGGAACTGTTATTTTTCCATCCCTCTTTCCTAACATATGAGCTTTCCTGCCCTCCCTTACACATTTTTCTCTCGAAGCCCAGTCGTCAAGCCTTTAGGTCTGCTGCTGATTGTCCCAGATGTATTGTTTCTTCTTGGAGAGACATTGATTCCAGAGCCTGACTGGGAATGAATCTCACCTCCACTTAGTAGCTGTAGGATTCAAGTTACTCTTACTCAGTTATTACATCTATAAATGGGGATTTACCACGTTTCCTTCCAGAGTTAACATCATGGGCTTCCAATTTGCTAGCTTGGATCACTGACCCTTGCTAGCTGACTTCCTACTGTAATTGATCACCATCCAGACACGTGGTTGTGGCACCTCAAGCAGAACCATCTACATACATCTGGGTTTATGCACTCTGTAGAAGACATCAAACTATGAACTTATTATTTGTGCCTTTTTTCTGTATATATGTTAAACTTTAATAAAATATTTACTTTAAGATTTTGCATTTATGTTAAATCCACTTAGCTATACAGGATCTACTTTCTCACTCTGGTTTCTTTTTCTCTGTTTCTCGCTAACTCAAAAGGATCACACATGTACACATAGTTATTTTAGAAAAACAATACAAAACATAACAGCAAAAGAATAAAAATTTATAGCTGTCCATTCCCAGTCCCAATACCCAAGAGCAACCACTGCTGATATTTTCAAAGGTGTGTATCATTTTTTAAAAATCATCTTAATACTGTTTTGCAACCTTTTAATGTCACCTAACTGTAAATTTCAGGCAATTATTTTTAAAGGCTGTGTTGTATTTCATGTAATGGGTGTAGTACGACTATTTAATCAATCTCTACTGTTAGAGATACAAATGGTTCCAGTATTTAGCAGCGTTGCTATGAACAGCTTTGGGTCTAAATCACTGAGCTGCACTGGGCTTTCATTCAATTCACATTTCAATAATTCATACACCACTCTTTCCAACCCATTTTAGGTTTCCTGGTCTGTGAAGGAATTCAGAATTGCTTTATTATGTACTACATCTTTGGGACTTTCCTTCTGAAAGAATTACATTTCACTGAAACAAATAATGGGCTTGATGCAGATGTTTTTCAAAGCATGATGGGAAGGAACGAGGCACTTTGGGTCACACATCCCATGTACCGAAGTAGGCAGGAACAGGAGGTCTCACAGTCTCACACTCTGACGTGCTTGGGGCTGATGCTTCTCAGAAGGCCTTTCCAATTCACAGTGGTATTTGCCTCTTGAGTGGCATTTGCAGTGTTTCTATGGTGGTGCTAATGACTACAAATAGCTAATGGCTGTGAAAAGCTAATTGTCGTGCAAGGTGTTTCACCTCTTCCCCAGATTGCCAGGAGAGCTCACAGTCATGGTTAAACAGAGATCTCATTAGCGTCTCTGACAGTCCTCAAGGGGCATCCTCCTCATAGCCTGGCATATAATCAAGCCTTCTCAGCACACTCAGAGCCAAGAGACTTTATGCCCGGCAAGCAACAGAAAACAGGGAGGCAAAGATTTAGGGAGCACTTCCCATGAGGAAACAAAGGAAGTGGGATGTGTGTGTTGTGCTTCAATTGGAGAACTGAAGAAATGGGAAGGACACGATCTTTGCAGGCTGGCCTCCCCAAATAATAACAACATGGTAGGTAGAGTGTGCCAGGCACCAGCCTGAGTGCCTCTTGCTCTTTTAATCATCCCCACTTTTCAGAGGAGTACACTGAGGCTCAGAGACAATTTCCCCCAAACCCTTTAGCAACTTACAGATCTGGAGCAGAACTCTTGGCCTTTTTACTCCAGAGCCCAGATTCCTAACCACTGCATAATACTGCATAATAGTTCTTCTTGAAAACTAGTGAACCAGCTTCAGGCCGTGCTGGAGAGAGTATGTAAGAGTGTGTGTGTGTGTGTGTGTGTGTGTGTGTGTGTGTGTGTGTGTGCACACGGTGTCCACATGTATGTGTCTGTGTGCATTAGGAGAGAAAGAATTTGAACACTAAATTCAGTTCATCATATTCCATGATTACCTCCTGAAAGATTGGCTAGTTAATAAACAAACCAACAGCAAGCTCACGTTAACTGATGAATGTTTCTTCCTATAAGCTAAGGTGTTGTGTTCCCTCTCCTTCCACTGAAGTCCTGAACTCTAGGCTATCCATTAAAAAACCCTATTCTGTTGATTACCTATTAGTTCCTTGTCCTTCGACCTAAGTTAGACAATTGATCCAATAAGGCCAACTTAGGTACCGCAATGCTTGTTTGAATTCATGGTGCTGCTAGGTTTGCAAACCCCTTTTCTACTTCTCTTATGGACTCATTAACATTATTAGCTGGAGATCTGAGTTTCAATTCCGCCTTCTCCCTACCCCCATTTAAAAAAATATATCTGTCAACATCCACCTCCTCTTCCCAGGAAGTATAGCAATTTAATGCTTTGTGCTGGTCATTTCACATGTAAAACTGTTTTCAATTCTATACAACTTTTTCAAAAAGAAATTAAATCGACAGCAATAGGGATTGATAGAGAAGCCATGCCTGGAATTGCAATGAGGACTGTTTGAGTTCTTCCTACACACTTTGAGAAAACAAAGAGAGGCCACTCAGTCTGGCGGAGGAAACACAGGACCAAGGAAAATGCTGAGAGACAAAACACTGCCATGTCATGGGAGAAGTTGCCTGGGAAACACAGCCATTCAGAGGGATGAAGGACTGGCCTCACCTGCCATCCTTCTGTCCTTTCTCCTGCCTCATTAGTTTAACGGAGATAGCAGTTGCCTTCATTGACTTGACTATTAACTGGGCTAAGAACTGACACTGAAGTTAATGTTCAACTTGCAACCAAGTCAATTCCATACTAAGATCTGGTGTGAGCCCCAAAAAATGACACCAATAGAGGAATCCATATTATCCTCAACGCCTCTGGAAGCCACATGTTCCGACTGCCACTGACAGACTATTCGTGACATAATTATTCCAAGCAGATGATTTAGAGCAGGAAGAGAGCTGGATGCAAAAAATATAATCAGAAAATTAAGAAAGTGAAGGAGAAGTCTTGGAAGTGGCAAGAAAATGGTCTCTGAAGAGTTAGTCCTCTCTGATTCTAACAGGTTTCAGCTCGGGTTGCGCACAGAACAGCCCCTGTCATTCTTGTTTGTGGTCATGGGCTGAAGGAAAATGAGGACAGACTACTTCCCGTACTGCTGAGCTGACAATTGCCACCAGCCATCACCTCCTGATAGAAAGGACAGGACTATCACAGGAGAAGGTCCTCTCTTGCTTGTGCTGGGAAAATGGAAAGCCTTCCTCCATCAGCTGAGCTTCCAGCCAGCTTAGGAGCAAATGTTTGCAAACGACTTCAGTAAGCTGGATACATCCTCATCGTTTCTTTTTGCTGGAGTTTGGGACAAGGCCAAACACATTCATGATTCCCGGAAGAACATCCCCCTCCCACTGTGTAACTGAGAACCATTTAGGAAAGAACTAATGGGAATCTCCTCCCCAAAATCTGTTCTCCTGAATTTCTTTTCTTGGTGAAAGGCTCTACTCACCATCATTTGCCTAACCCAGAAACTCAGCAAACATCTTCAACACCTCCCTTTCCTTCTCCAGAGCTTTCAGTTTCCCAGGCCAGGAGTTCCTACCTCCTTTATATTCCATTCTCACATGTCCTGCCCTGGCTCAGGATGCCACACTTTCTTGCTTGAATTACTCACTACAGGCAGTTGCCCAAAGGTCTCCCTGCCCCCAGGCTTGACACCCTCTATGCTATAGCATATATGTTTTTTAAATTCAACTCTGATGTCACTTCACTGGTAAAAATATCTGGCAATTCTCCGAAGCTTTAAGGATAAAATTCAAACTCTTTAGCTTAGCATAAGCAAAATGTAAAGAGCAGACATTTTACTCAACTTGTTTTGGCAGGGTGTAAAGACCCTGAACCATGAACCAAGGTAAATTCTAGCACTACTCTCTTATGGAGGTAAGAGAATGAGAAAGGGCCACTTAGGTGCAAGCTAAGTGCTTAGACATTATGAGTTAGGTTCTTCAAAGTCGGAACTAGGGTGAGAAGTTTCTACCCCAGTATGGTTACCAAAGAAAATGTAGGATGACCAGATAAATTCAAATTCTGAAAAATAATGAATATTATTGTTGAGTTTAGGTATGTTCTATACATATTTGTTTACCTAAAGTTCAAATTTAACTGGGCATCCTGCATTTTTATTTGCTAAATCTGACGACCTTATACCACAGCACTAGGTGTGGGATGGAAGATAAGGGTGAGGGGAGCTTTCCAAGACAGTCAATAGGAGAAATCGAAGGTCCAATATAAGGAAAGGGACTATCAGTTGCATATAGTAGATTGAATATACAGGGTTGCCTCAATTCTATTTAGAAAAATCTCAAAAAGATAGTTCAGGAAAAAGAAAACCCATAAGTTATAAAGAAAATGGGACTAGGACTATATAGTAAATGATAGTACTTCAAAAAAATTGGGAGATACAAAATAATATACAAGTAGTAACACAGCATGAGAAAGTTTGTTGAGGGAGAAACTGATTAAGGTGCAAAAATTTGTAAAGGCTCCGGAATTAGGGGCACGGGAGCCTCAGAAGACATTGGGGTGGGAAGGGATTAGTCTGTATGAGAAGCTGGTGGTCACCAGGTACCTTCCCTGCCCCGAGCTCAGAGGAATTGAGAGGTTTACTAGAGAGTATGAACATGAGGGGCTCCAGAGTTCAGCACATCAGGCACAGAAAAGAGTGGAATACCATGCTGAAAACAAGATTAACTGTAAGTCTCCATATAATATGGTGAGCTCTGCACTCCCTTCTTTCTCCTGCTAGGTTTTCAGATTGCTGAAACCCTAGCTTAAGGAAAAACACCCACTGATATTTTCAAGCAATTTACCAGGAAAAGTACTGGATGGCTAACTGATCACCTTATAATGCTGCCCACCCATCAATCAGCCCTGCCCATGCACAGATCCATCTCTTTAGCTTCCCATATGAGGCCATGTACATGCATCCAGGGATGGCTGATATTGAAGGAAAACCTCTTAAAATGGGAGAGAGAGCAGGAAACAAAAATAGAAAAAGACAAAAGGTACTTGGAGAAAAGAAAGAGCCTACAAGAGAATTGTAACTATTATTCTCAGAAAAATAAGACAACATTTTGCATCAATGAAACAATAATGGGATGCTATTAAAAAGAATTAAAAGCAAGAAATAACAAATAGAAAATCAAAATATGGTCACAGAAAGAAAGTATGTAGTAAAATGATAAAAAGACAAAGTTAAAAAAACCCAGAAAGTAGAACAAATCATCAAACAGGTGGGTCATAGGCGAGAAGACCTAAAATTAGGGAAGTGGTTCAGAAGATTAAACATCTATCCAGTGGAAACTCCAAAAAGAAAGAAGGGAGAAAATAGAGAGAAGGAAATTATTGAAGAAACAAGAACATTAATCTCCATTTTTAAAGGGCCTATTAAGCACTTTAAAAATTAATTTTTTAAATGTAAAGT